GGAAAAAGAATATCGTCAAAATATTGAACAAATCACCAATGAAAAATTGACTCTAGAAAAAACAGTAGAAAGTTTGACAAAAAAATTGGAAGAAAATCGCTTAACAATGGAAAAAGAATATCGTCAAAATATTGAACAAATCACCAATGAAAAATTGACTCTAGAAAAAACAGTAGAAAGTTTGACAAAAAAATTGGAAGAAAATCGCTTAACAATGGAAAAAGAATATCGTCAAAATATTGAACAAATCACCAATGAAAAATTGACTCTAGAAGAAACAGTAGAAAGTTTGACAAAAAAATTGAGAGAAGTGACCACATCACCACCACCACCAGCAGAAGTTTCAAATGGAGAAAGTATTCAAGAATTGAAAGAAAAACTTAATAAAATGAAAGTATTATTAACACGATTAAAAAAAGAGCTACAAGATAAAAACCAACAACCAAAGCAAAGTTTAATTGATTTAGAATTAGCCGATTATGAAAAAACCATTAAATATTTGAAAGAGGAAGCGCAAAAGAAAGATAAAGAACTTAGTGATCTACACGAAGAATTGAATGTTCATAATGATAAATATAACTGTCTTAAAATTGAAAGTAAATATAATATTCGGTTGTTTCACGTAACTCTCTCAAAAACGTCATTCTGGCACTTTTCCCACTATATACTTGTCTTTTATATCTCTCAAGCTGATACGTGCCTGAACCTTGCGATGAGCTAGCTCATTTTATGATGAAAGGTGTGCTTAATAAGCTGAGACGTGTCAGACCTCTCTAAAACTCTCGGTTATAAATATGTCTTAACAAAACAGAAACATACCTTGTTCAAAAAAAACGAAAATTCTATAAAAATAGTGTTGAACATCTTCACAATATTTCCTTAACTAAAAGTTCTAACGCTTGTTAAATACATTTTTCTTCACAAGATGAAGCAATCGCAAGCTGTAAGAGCGTATAAAGACACGAAAAATAGTGGCAAAAGTATCAAAATCATGTTTTTGAGCATGTTACATGAAATGAGCATGCTGTTTCTTGGAATGATTCATTATCGACTTATTTTTGATTTAAGTTGATAATCTAGAACAACAAAAAACCCAAACAGAAGAACGAGCAAATAAATTTAAAACATTATTGGATGAAGCTAAAAAAGAATTACAAAATGCAAAAGATTTAGAGATGGAACGAATAAATAATGAGGGAAATGTTCGAACGTTACTGGATACAAATCAACTTGAGTTAGATAACAATAGACTGTATATCAATGAATTAGTACGAGAAAAGCAACAATTATTAGGTACATACATCTCATTATCATTATATTTATATATAATTGTGATCTATCTTTTCTCATTAGATAGAATAAATAATAACACAGACAATAGTCAACGTATAATTAGCACATTAGAACAAAATTTAAAAATATTAACACACGATTTAGATATTGCCAAACAAGATTATGATACATTACAGGATGAATTTAACAGTTATAAAGTAAGAATTTAATGAATAAGAAAACATCATCTATTGCGTTTTGTTTAGCGCAATTCTTAGAAAAAAAAATCAGTGTGTCAAAGAAATGATGGTTCTTTTTTCAAAGGGTTTTTAGCTCACCGTTACTTTTAGATTCGAGCTCAAAGTGTTTTAAAACAGCAGCAACAACAACAGCAACAACAACAACTTCTCATACAACATGAAAATCGTTTGACACCGGAGAGACAAACTGAAATTCATGATTTAGAAGAAACTATTGAAAAATTAAAAGTTGCACTGAAAGATACAAAGTACGTCCATCTAGAAACTATTTATTGTTTCTTTAATTATATACTGTCTGTTTTTTTTTAGTGAAAAATTAAAAGCAATGATGAATGAAAATGATGCATTACAAAAAGAACAAGATCGTTTAATTAATCGTCAAACAAAAATTGTTAATGATTTTAAAAAACGTGAACAAGAATTAAAAACTCAAATACAAAAATTAGAAAATGAATGTTTACAACATACAAATGAAAATTTAGATATGATAAAAAATGTTTCAACACAAAATGAAATGTTATCAGTAGCATTTAAAGTATGTTAATGGATAGAAATGTGAAGCTTTTTTGGGTTGAGCTATGTGTATATCTATCTTATTTCAGGAACAAATAGCATCAATACAAAGTGATCATGAACGCGCTTTGGGACTAGTACAAAGTCAATTAAATTCATCACGATCCGAAATTGAAGTACTAAAAAGTCGACTTGATTATACAACATCACGACTAGATAATAATATTAATGAAATCAACAGTCATTCATCGGTTGAAACAATAACTATTGGTAGTAATAACGATATTAGAGATGATACTAATTGGTTTGTTCATAATACAGAACGGCAACAAGGAGAGGTAAAATAAATTTATCATTAGCTTATCCTCTATATTTTAAGTATCAAATTCAAATTTGATAAAAAACAACAACAACAACAGATTGTCATTCAACTGTTCTATTCATTTAGGGTATTGATAAAGAACTTTTACAAACGACTAATAGTGAAAATTCGTCTACAATAGCTGCTAAAACGTTAGAAAATGTTTTATTTGGCAATGGTGATTCTGCTAATATCACAAATGGCTCATCTTCGACTGTCACAGCATTATCGTCAACTAGTGAAAAACCCAAACATATTTTATTTGAAGATGTTGAAATGGAATTACAACATATCAATCAAGAATATGAAAAATGTCGTTTACGTTTAATAAATATAACAGAATTATTAAATGATTCTGAATTAAATAATGTTCGTCTAGAAGAACAAGTTAATCTATTAAAAGATGAAATTCGACGATTAGAACGAAATATGGAACGAGCTGATTCAATTTCAAATTTAGAATATTTAAAAAATGTTATTTTGAAATTTTTTATATTACGATCAACTCACGAACGTTTACAATTGATTCCTGTTCTTGTGACAATGTTAAAATTAAGTCCGGATGAGCAACAAAAACTTGTACAAGTAGCACACAGTAATCGTTTCCTAGAGGAAAATACTGAACCAAATCAACAGCAACAACCGCAGGAACAACAACAAAACGGAGGAGGAAATTCGTGGGGTTCTTATTTAGGAAAAATATCGGGATTTTATTAGTAAATAACAATTTTTAATTTATTTCTTTTTTCAGACGGGTTCTGGATTTTTTATATTTTTGTTGTTTTCTTTATAAATGTGCTTCATATGTGATATAAAAGAAGATAGTATTTATCTAATAATAAATAATCATTCTTTTTTAGTGCAACTGACATTTACATTCTCTTCGAATACTAAAATAAAATTCATTTTTATAAAAGAATCTTCCCGATTATCTTTTTCCAAAAAAAGATTGAAATCTTGCATGATCTTCTTTGATATTTCGACATTTTATATTGAAACCTGAATACATATGTTACTTAATACGTTATTTTATCCTCGGCGTATGCTGACTTGTCGAAATTTGTTATTGTTTTTTAAATATAAACTACATATTTAGAAAGTGTCAAAAAAAACCAACAGCGTCAAATATTTTTTTCTCAAAACAACGACAAAACGAGAGAATCAAGAAAGAAAAAATGAACAAAAATTTCATTAAACATCGACTAACAACAAAAGAAAAAAGAAAGAGAACAAATTTTCAAAAAACAAAACAAAAAAAAACTGGTTCTTATTCATATTGCTGCATTTGACGCAAGCAATCAGCATAAAGCAAAACAAAAAATAAAAATAATTTACGCACAATTCAAAATATCTTGTTTATATTTAAATTTAATAGTCTTACAAGCATTAAAATTTGTCTGTATGAAAAAAATGAACCGATAATAACAACGATGAAGAAAGGTGCCGACCGAGGAAAAAACGTTATTTAAAAAAAAAAAGAATAAACAGTTATCAGGTTACAAAAAGAAGAGGGACGATGTGTTAAAGTGCATCATTACACATAGAATACTGGCTATGCATGCAGATAAATAAAAAAGACCGAAAAATATGTTACACATAGCTATATAAAGAAAGAATTAACCACATTGAACAAAGTTTTATTAGCATATGAATGGTAAAAAGACTATACAGAACATAGGACATTTATTTCATTGAACAGTCGTTATAACAATAAGTAAATAACATTGATCTGTTCGATTTTGTACGACGCAACGATAAGTATCTGGTGCACGATTTTTTAATATTTCCGATGCAAATGGACATGGTGGAAAAATATGTACGACATAAGCAGCTTGTGAAGCACCTGGTAAGAGAACATTGACAATGCCTGCAGCTTTTTTCTCTTCAAAATATTTGATGACTCCATTTTTTAAATTTGACTGTTGTTGTTGATATTCTTGTGGTGTTGAACCATTTGGCATTGCTATTAATATACAATGATCATTTTCCATTTGCATTCGTTTTTGAACACCTTCTAATTGAGCTTGTTCTAAACGCATACGCTGTGATATACGAAGATTATGGGTGGCTGTTGATGATTGTTGCTGATTAGATGGTATCTGTGAATCAGTATTCCAAAAATTCATTGATGCACGTGCTATTTGTGGACTACCAGCAACAAGAATTGTTTTGACATAAGCTTGATCATTTTTTAATATTAAATTTCCTTGCCATGTAACATTATAGGGATCACGTGAAGATGAAAATGTATCACTAACATGTTGCGGAGGTGATTGTGGTAATGGTTGACGAAAATTAACAACACCATAACCGGGCATATAGCTAACACTATTATTTGAATTATTATTACCAAGATTATTTGGAGAATTTGATGTTTGTTGAAATAATTGTTGAATAGGTAATGGATGTGAATCGGGTCGAGTAGGATCAACATAAATAAAATTATCAGGATAACCATTTGGATTAACTCCAATGGCAGTTAACATATTAGCGGCCGCTGCAGCATAAGCAAAATTTGGTGGATAAAGAGCTTGTGCATTGTACAATTCTGATGCATCGTACACAGATCGAAATGGTACAACTGAATCTAAAAAAGAAGAAACAAAATATAACAAAAAAAGCATTACTCTTCATTCAAGATGACTTAGTCGAAGCCAAAATATGTAGAACTTTTGACACTTTGGTTTAGCATACCTTGTGCTAGAAATTGTTGCATGGGCGATGTTTGTTGTCTCACATTTCCCCCTGTTTTATCCTGCGAATCTGATTGAGTGATAAGTGATGATGTTTGTTGCTGTGTATTGGCTGGAATAGATAATGCAATAGGAACAGCCACAGTCTGCTGAATCGGTGTTGATCGACTTGGTATGATTGGAGTAGTTGGTATCGTCAATAAATCCCTACACATAAAAAGTCTAAAAAATAAATGTATTCGAAAATAAATCGTGCTGATTCTTACCTTTCTGCTGTGCTCGATTTTTGTGTTTTTATCGATGGAATATCATTATTCATATGTAAATTGGAATGATGATAGCTAGCAGTGGATGGTGAAGTTTTTTGAGTATCATTTGTCAGCGTTAGTTTATTAGTTGCATTAGCTGGATTTTCAGAAGATAAAATCATATTGGTAAATGGATTTGACAATACTACGTTACTCAACGATGACTGAGCTTTATTATTAATATTATTGGCTACTAATGATGGATGTGTAGAAAGTGTTGCTGTAACGATATTCGGTGGTTGATTTTGAATAATGTTCGATGATGAAGATGTGGATAGAAATGGAAATGGAAAATTTTGTGAAAATGTCTCATCGGGCGTCAATATGTGAGGAAATAGCTGAGCGGCAGCATTTAATAAATGTTGTTGTTCACTGTTTTTGTTTGAAGGTGATGAAGAAGCCGTTTGCCGTGTTGGAGTATTTGATACTGATGGTCTTGCTAGTAGTGGAACAGTCGTGGTTGTTGTTGATGGAGACGTAGATGAACGAGATATTTCCGCCGATAAAAGATTATTATTTACGATAGCATTATTATTATTAGTATTATTACTGAAAATATTTGTACAAGAAAAATCGTTGTTACCAGATGGTAATGTTGTTGGACACGGAGTTTTCATCGTTAGTAATGGTAATTCACGAAACGGTTTTATTGTCTGATCTTTTTGATGATACCGCGAAAGTGAGTCAACTGTAGAAAATGGAAATGAATGATCAATAATCGACATAGTAGCAGAAGATGTTGCTTCCTGAATCGAGGAGGAAGATGTGTGACCTTTAGCTACATCGTCAATAACTTCTTCAATATGAGAACGTTGATGTTTTTCGATTATTGGTACTGATGATGAAGTGGTAGTAGAGCCAACAATATTCGATACGAGTGTCATCAAATCAGGATTCGCTGAACGATTTATTGATGGACTAGGTAACGAGGCAACAAAATTATAAACAGGCTTACTGATTGTTGGAGTTGTGGCCACTGTTTGACTGATAATTTTAGAATTTACTTCCGTTTTATGATGTTCATTGTTCACGACTGCTGGTATATCTGGTCGATTATTTAACATTAACAAACTATTAACCGCATTCAACGTTTCTTCAACGCTTTCATTCATACTCGATGATGTTGTTGACGGTTGAACATTCACAGTTTCAGTCACAGTATGATTAGTGATTTTTGTTTCTTCTACAGCAGTTTTTGTTACGATTAGAGACGTTAGAGGCGCTGTGGATGTTAAATTGAGTGGCGGTGCTTCTAAGCTATGACGTCTTGATGATATAGCACATTGAAGTGAAGAAAATGATAATGCCTGAACCGTATTTTCTGTTTCACTATTTAAACTTGTTTTTGTCGTCGATGACATTATTGAACTAATGGCCGTGAATGTTTCTTGATTAGAAGTTGCTTCAGTATCCATCGTTTGTTTTTCATCGTCCTTTTTAGAATCTGGTTGTAATTGTTCATTATTTTGTGGTGGCGGTGATGGTAATGGTGATGCTGGTGGTGATGCTGGTGGTGATGCTGGTGGTGATGCTGGTGGTGATGCTAGTGGTGATACTGGTGGTGATGCTGGAGGTGGTGCTGGAGGTGATGCTGGAGGTGGTTCAGATTGATTATTCCTAAATTATTCAAAAATAGAACATAGACAAAAGTTTGGACTTTAAGAATGTTTTATTTATTATTATTATTAAAAGAGAAAAATGAACACTTACTCTGCAATTTTTATTGAATAATTTTCCATCTGTTGATTTGCATTCTTATATTCGCTCAATAATAATTTTGTTGGTACTCCATCCTTTTCATTCGTATCTGGCACGTCTCTTGTTGATGTATCCATCTCGATATTTTCTTGCTTCTGGGGTGAAGGAATATCAGATGATACCAACCCTTTCGAACTATCTGACTCCTGTTGTGTTTGTTCTTCTAGTAGTTCCGATTTGATTTCTTTATTATCACTAAGAACATGATCGCTATCAGTACAAAAACGTTTGTTATTAATACTATTTGGAGATGTTGGTCCGCTTGACGATATAGAAATTACACGTTTTAGACTATCGTTCGATGATGTATCGTTACTCAAAATATTCGTAGTAGTAATTTGACCCGATAAACGACGATTTAATAGATTATCATTTAATTCTGTATTTTCGATTGATAAGTGCTTTAATATAGTAGTTTCTAATTGAGACGGCGCAGGTGACGGTATGATTACTGCTTCATCATTATTAGTCGATACCTGTGCAGTAATGATACTAATAGTACTACTACTGGTAGCCGTTCTTATTTGTTGTTTTTTAGTTGATAGCTGTTGACTTGTATTCTTCTTGCCATTGTTGTGTTTAGTTTTTGTACTTGTACTATCATCTCTTCTACCTAATAATAAATCACTTAATTGCATTGTTTCAGGATTTAATGTATCATCGTCATTCAATAGTTGAGTTGCTGTTGACTTTATTATTGGTACAGATAAAGAAGATGGCGTCAATAGTTCGTGTTTAATAGCTGCAGTGGATTGTGGTTGATGTGTTGTTAACGGTATATCTAACGGCGTTTCCTTGTTGAGTGCAAATTCGATATCTTCTGCTTGTTCACGTGTAAGTAACTTACTACTATTATTTTGTTCATTACTTTCAACATCTTCATCATTTTTCGATGTATCATTACTACTGACGTGATCAATCGATTGTGAACGATGAGAAGAGAGTTGTGAAATCTGTGATGTATGTGTTTGATGATGACTGGTAAATACAATACCAAATTTATTCGTACTATCACTTGTCGAAGTATCTGAGACATCATCGACATTTTCTTTCACACTAGGTATATCAATAGTTGGTTCGGAAACAGCTATCGAAGATGTTTCTACTGTATGTTTACTGTCTTCCATTATTAAAGGTGATTGAATAGTTTCTGTGATATTAGACTTTGGTGTTTTCTTATCCGAATCAACAGATGCAGAGGATTTAACTTTATTCACCGATGTTTCTTTTGTTTTGTTTGAACCAACACTGCTATTGGAATTTTGTCTATTACTTTTAATTATATTCTCATTCAATTTTATTTTCTTAGCTTCAACCGGAGACGCTAATCCTGATAGATCATCTGTTGAAGAACGCTTTTGTCCGCCGGTAGTCGTTACTTTTGTTGTAGAAGATTGTATTGTGGATGATGTTAATTTTTGTTGCGATTGTGATTGAATTAATTTATTTGATGATGACAATGACTGTTGTACAGATAGTTTCTTTTTCGATACATCTGTTTCTAATACTTTGTTTGACGGCTGATCATTCGTCTTTATAGATTTTTTCTCATCAGTAGATCGTGAGACTTGAGCACCGACGATTAACTGTTGTTTAGGAATAACTTTTTCGTTGTTGTTAGAAGAATTAATGTTTAACTTGTTTTTTGTTAAACTTAAAGTTGATTTTTTTTCCACATCTTCCGATACTTTTCTTGCTTTAGTAGGTACATTCACTTTCTTCTCATTGATTTGTTGTACATTTAACAATGATTGTTTCTTTTTTTCCACAGGTTTTGATAAAGATGATGATGACTTGTTTTCGATCACATTCTTTTTTGCTTGATCTTTAATCACGTTGTTTTTCAGCGTTGCTGGCGTAGTTGATTTTTGTGGTGGTATTAATAGCGGTTGTGTATGTTTAATAGTCTTTTTCTGATCATCCAATTTTTTTCGATTCACTTTCGTATCATCGTTACTTTCTTCAGCATCAAATACATTATCATCAAATGTAAAATTTTGTTTATTATTTAATGATTTTGAATGGTGTTCTCGTTCGTTAGAGAAATTAGGTATTGATCTATCAGATAATTCAGAATCGGATAATTCTGATACTGTCGTGGATAGATACTAAAAATAAACAAGAAACATTCTTATGAGAGTGCAGAAAAGACGTAAAAATTTAAACTATTCCATCTTGGTACTATGAACTAAGATACGTTATAACATAACAGCTAATTCAATGGTCTCTTCCAAATACAGCAAAATATCAAAAGCTTTTCTTCTCTATAACTTACATCTCGTTTATGTTTCATTGCCCGTTTCGATGACGATTGTGATTGATCATCAGTCTCACTGATTGATGTATTATCATTTTCGCTTGAATTTGGTTGACTTGTTGTTGATCTTGACCTAGCAAATAGAAACGCTGTTAGTTCATATTTATACATCCATATGCAATAATTCTGCATACCTATGACGGTGATGATGAGTTTTTCTGTGATGATGACCTTCCGATAGGTCACTTCGAGCACGTTTTTTAATTCGATCGTACATACTGACATCTTGTGTTAATGGATTGAAATCTGGACCACGTAACTCGTTTGATGCAGTCGACTAAAATAAAGAAATGACACGACATATGAAAAGATGGTGGATGAAATACTGAGTGTGTTTACGTACTTTATGAAGATTTTTCAACTTCTGTTTTGTACGCTGTCGTTTTTGTAAAAGCTTGGAGCGTGTTAATCCTATAAAAAGAAAACAATAATAGAATAGGAATGATATTTTTCCGAACAGTAACATAGATAAGTTTATTTTAAACAAGTTTAAAATAATCTAGATTTTGCCTCTATGAAAATTCATACCTGTTTTATGTCGTTTATGCCTCTTATCTTCACCGTTACTGCTTTCTGAATCGTTGCTGTTCTTTTTGTCTGTTTCATCATCATTATTTATATCATTTTTCATTTCTTCTTGATCTGAACTTTCTGCCTCATAAAAACTCTGTTGTTCTTCCTCATCTCCTTTTTGTTCTAATAATACATTTTTTGTCGATATTGAACGTTGTTTCACATCGCCATCCTTTTCATCTTCAGCTTGTTCCTCGTGACCTTGTGATTGCGATGTCCGTTGTTCCTCATCACTCTCACATTTTATACGCTGCTCATCTAAATCATTATCATTATCATTATCATCATTATTGTCATTATCACTTGATGAACATTGTATGATTATATTATTGTATGATTTTTTCGTAGAATTTTTTTTCTTTGATTTAATAACTTCTTGTTGTTGTTTTCGCTTTTCTTTCTTTTCGCTGGTATATTTTAATAATTTTTTCTGAAATTTTTTCTTATTATATTTACGTTTTTCAATTGGATTATTGATTGTTGATTTTTTTTTAAAATCCTGTCTCTGTTCTTCTTCTCTTTCATCACTTGACATCTGATGAGATTTTGTTCTTTTATGATGATTTGTTTTCAGCGATGAAGTTGATGTTGTCGTGGTGGTGATATGTAGTTTTGGATGTTGTTTGATATCAAACACATTTTTTAAGGACTTAGCATCAATACGTTCAATTGTTAATTGTGGAATTAATTTCTTTAGCAACGGTGTTGTAGTTGATATTTTAGTCGAAGGTTGCTTATTTGGTACAGTTGTTTTGGGTTTAGTCAATAATTTTGAACCATCTACACTGTTACTATTATTCTCACTTGAGACTGAGTCACTATGTAATTTTTTATTGATAGTACCACCAACCGGTTTTGATGTTCCGACCGTTTTGATTTGCTTTGATTGATCGATAGATGAACTTTTTTTTGGTATTTTTTCAAGTGTTTGTTTTTTAATATCCAACGTTGATGTTGATTTATTCGTAATAACAGATGGTGATGGTTTTTTCGTGTTATCAACATTCGAAACAGTCGTCGTAGTACCAGATGATGAAGATGACACAACACGTTGTTTTGTTGTAGCGGGTGGTGTTCGCCAAGACGAATCATTTGTATTTTCTGTTTTAATACGTTCATCAATATCATTTGTAAATGATTTCAACGATTCATTATCATTATCGTTTTCAGAATGTTTCTTTACGGTTTGTTGAACTATTTTCTTTGGTTTTGTATCATTTTTCGATATATCAACCGTTGCGAGTGATGCTAAAGGATTTGTTGTGACAATAGGTGTAGCTGGTGTTTGACTACGAGATAGTGGTTGACGATTAAATGAGTTATTATTATCTGTAGTGGAAGTTGCAGTTGATGACAACGGCGATACATACGTTGTAGACGATTTACGATCGCTTATTGGCGATGTAACAATAGGTGATGATGGAACAAATCGTTGTTTTAATATTGATTTTAAACCCTGTGACGAATTACTGCTAACTGAAAGTTGTTGTTGCAAATGTGGATGAACTGTGTCTGATATAGAACTGGTTTGAGTTGAATCAATTATTTGAAGTGTCGGCTGTTGTGGAGGTTGTTTTCGCTTTACACGTGCCGAGGGACCAAGACGTTCAATTATTTTAGCTGAAGATGTGCTAGGTTCAATAACTGATGTCGAATCGTTATTATTTACTCCATCGAAATCATTATTCGGTGCGGAAGTAATAGATTCGTTCGATATTTCAGATATTTGTCGATTCACATTTCCTCCAGTAGAAAATGTTGATGTTTGTTGAGGTATGGATAGAAGCGATTTTGAAAATGTCGTTGAGATAGCTGTTGTATTTGTCGTTGTTATTGTCAATAATGAATTTGAAACTGAACGATGAGCCAGAGTACGATGTGCTAAACCAGATATAGTATTCAGTGATAAAGACGGAGCTACAGAAGTGATCGTGGATGATGAAGAAGGGAGATTGAGAATAGACGGGATGGATACAATAGAATTGCGTTGAAGTATATCTTGTATGGATGACATAAATGACGTACCCGATGATGCTGTTAGTTGATCTGAAGGTTTATTTATATTTATATGTGGCGGGTAAATATTTGATGGATTTAATAGCGATGGTATGACTGGAAATGGTAATGTGGATGTCGCTGTGATGGCTGAAGAAATTGGTACGAGAGTAGAAATACCATTTCGATGTTGTGTCGAATATGAGTACGGTAGCGCTTTGGTTGGAAATGAATTAAACGTTGATGTATTTAATGCTGGCGTTGATGGTGCGGATCGTACTGCTTGAATGCACTGTGATAGTGTTTGTGAAGCTGACGATGACGAGGATAATGAAGACACCAACTCACTTAAACTAAACATAGAAAAATATATACCGTAAAAATAGTAATAGTACCATTATCAAAGTGCAACCATGGTATGCATACTCACTCTGTTCTAGCCAGTTTCCAGTAGACTTTACTATAACTCTGAGCGAAAATGACAACTACACTTGAAATATCATCTGTTGTAGAGAATTATTTGTATCTTAAATACATGCTCTTTTGAAACTTAAATCTATCAATTACAGTTATGAATTTTTTTCGAAGTGAATTTCACGTCCTAAAAGTGACACTCGATCGTAAAACTATTGTACTTCAGTGATCATTAGTAGCCAACAAATGAAATTTATTGACTCGTTGAAGAAATTCAATCTAGATTATATATGACGCTCAGATATTAAATAACCAGCTGGCAGACTTCCATTCAAATAATTCTTCTTTTCAGAGAATGTTTCAGAGATTGATCATTTTTTCATTCCATGCTTCTTTAAATCTTGCCAATGTTGATTTACACTTTTTGTTAATGTACTATTGGAAAAGCTCCTGACAGACGTGTGGTTGACCATGAAGAATCAAGGGATACAAGTGTTGGAAATCTTTGAAACATTCGCTATAATCTGTGCAAGAGTAGCAATGAATTCAAATAGTAAATTTCTGACTATAATCCAACATTTCAACATAGATAAGGTCTCAGACTTTCATGTCTCCGTATGTACTTAATTGTATGAATCTTGAAACTGGAACCATTGACAATACTAACCTTTTGACTGATGCACTTATGGCTGCTGAAGAGCTTGATTGACTAACACCAGCGCTTGTTGGTAAGCTCCGTTTTAGTGATAGCAGTTTTTGTTGTTCGATAGTTGAACGTATACTTGGAGATAAAGATAGTGAGGATGATATTGATGATGCGGATGACGATGATGGAAAAACGGTTTTGGTACTGTTCACTGTAGATATTTGTGTTTTCGACGTGCTAATAGACGATAAAATAATTGGTCGTGTTGGTGATGTTGTAGTAGTGCTTGATTTATGATTTATTTCGTAAATTTGTTTATCTAATAGTCGAATTCGTTCATCTAATGGTATACGATTTGTTGGCAAATCATCATCACCGGTGTCACTTCGAAATGTTGCTAGATGAGATAAATCGATGTGAGGCGTGGACGCTGGTATTGTTGCTTCATGCATGTAATCGTTATTATTATTAGTAGTAGTAATCGATGAATCAGTTGTTGAAGAATCATTTACTTTCTCAGACTGCTGATTCCCAGTAAGTGATGCATTTCCATTACTACTTACACCCAATGTTGAATGCTTTAAATGCGCTTTTGGATTCAAGACAACGAGTACATTCGATGTTGGCATCGATTTAACAAGATCAAACGCAAATTGAGGAAACGGTAAACGTAAATTATCTACAATTGTTGTGGTATTATGCGATGACTGTAAACGTATATCAACTAAATCGTAATTGTACAGAGGTTCTAATGGAATGTCCTTCGGCGTCGCACTATTAGTGAACATATGTGATATTTTATTCGACTGGACCGTTGGAGGCAGACGGCGAGTAGGATTTTGTGTGACATGATTGCTATTTGTGTCATCCTCGACAGTACCAGAACTATTATTTGATGCATGAATCGACGATAAAGCTAATAAATCATCGGTCTTTTTTTCGTTCAAAATTTCGCTAGATGTTGGTAACTGAGTTGACGAAATATCGTACAATGGAGATACATTTGCTATCAAGTCAGATTGATCTTCACGTTTACGAATTGGTTGTAATCGATAAGCTGAAGTAGTACTAGGCGTAGCAGGTAACTTTTCTTCTTTCAAATCTGAGGAAAAAAAAGAAAAAACTATTTTAAACTAGAACCAATGTAAATGTAATCATCAATAAATCTTTTCTAAGTAGGGAAGAATTACTGTTATCCAATTGTTTCTGTCACTTACTTTTAACATTTTTCACAACATCAACATGTCGTTGTGTATCATTAATTTTAATTGAATTTGAACTCGTTGGTGTCTTGTTTGTATTTAAAACATCCATTTTGTCCATTGTTTCAGTTTCGTTTCCCAGTAAAATATCTTCGTCTTCGCCATTATCAATAACACCGTTATTATTATTATGATGATTCTGCATTAACCAATCAAATACTAATTGTGGATCTTTTCTTAAAAGTTTTGGCGATGATGGTTTAACACTTGGTAGTTCAATCATTGATGAGGATGAGACAGAAGTAGTTGATGGTAGTTCAGCAGATTTATTATTTGGTGGCTGTTCTTGTTTTAGAGTAGGGGAGTTGACAATTGATGTTGCAATTGGTGATGTCGTTGTAACAGAAATTATCGGTTCAGTAATAGTAACAGCAGTCATCGAACAAGAAGACAAAGTGGAAATTTTTATCTCAGACGGATTTGAGCTACTTGAAGTAACAGTGGCAGTTGTTGTTGGAGAAATACACGAAACCGATATATTTTTCACAGTTTGTTCCTGCGACAGTCGTTGACAATTTGTAGACGTTACAGTCGTTGGCGTAGAAATTATGTTTGTTGACGCTGTTACCGTTTGGACTGTAGAGCTATTATGCGCTGGTTGTTGTTGTATACGATGATGATTATTATGACGTGCATGTTTAGTAGTTCTATCGCTTTTATCTTTTGACGACTTTGGTTTTCGATGAGACGATGCACTATCGATTGCCTTTTTCTTTTTAGCCACTAACGTGGACGACGATGATGCATTATTATTGTTTACTGTAGATAATTTAGCTGTATGTTTCTGTCGTGAATTATTACGTTCGCCACGATCTGAACTGGAACTTTGACTACTGGATGAACCTGAATGACGCGTATGATTTGATTTGCCTGATGTCGATGCTGTGGAAGTCGATGTGACAAACATATTTGAAACTAGAAGAAAAATAATAAAACATTAGAGTTCTAACGTTATATATTCTACCAGCAGCTTTTACTCAACAAATTTTATTTTATCAATGAATAAACTATGCGAGAAGTAAACATACCACAATCTTTAGATGATGTCGAAAGACGCCGCCGATGATTGACTGTAACTGCTGGTGGTCCAGATGATACTGGAGAAATGATGTTGGACAAAGTATTACTATTATTAGCTGGTACAATATCACTGTTACCTACAATAAAAGATTTATTAGCTTAACATTATTTTCTCAGCAAAAAATAAGATAATACTTGTCGTTGTGGTTGTGACACTATTGGGAGTTGAATCACGATGATGTGTTTTTGTATAATCTTTTGAATGACGTCTACAGCACATTACAAGAATCAGAATATAATATAATCTAAATTAAATTTTCATTTTTAAACGTACCGATCTGATGGATGGCGAATATCTGACTTGTGTGTACGATTATAAGATAATGGTTCTTTATAAGCTAACGGCCATCTTTCTCGAGTATTATCAAATCTAAATGCAGAGAACAAATAAGTACAGCTATTTAGAGAAACATCTACGCGATAACTTACGATGACAATTCCAATGGATCACGAATTCCACTGCGTTTTGCTCTAGAAATATAACAAGGCACAACAAAGTAATATTACATAAATACAGAAGAAACTGATAGATACACACCCTGGTCGTGTTTCTGATAAATATAATGCTTCCGGTGTATAGGGTACAAAACTAAAACATACAACTAAAGTGATGAATGATATTCTAGAATAAAATGTAAAATGACTTACTTCTTTTTCGTGCTTGCTTCTTCAATAACATCAGAAAATCGTGTTATAAATACTTTACTGGCATAATCGACCTAAAAAAGAACAGACAAAGAATAATAAAACGAACTCACCTAAATCAAAATAGTTTACCTGTACTCGTCTATTCTCTAATTTTTTTCCTCTAATATGGTTAATAACTTCTTGTGCTACTCTACTATCGGTAAAATACACTAATCCTTGTGCTTGTCCTTTATTACGATTGTCAACATAAATGTCTAGTACCTGATCACTTTGTACAGCAGCTATTTAATGAAAACAAAAAAGATACAGTTCTTACAGTATATATATTAGCATTAGTTATTCCTACCTGTTCGAATAACAAACGTTCGAATAATAAGATCCGTAACATTTAATGGAAGTTCATCGAGCCACAAAACATTAGTCGGTTGAGATTTACCAAAGCCCAACTAAGCATAAAAAAGTGAAGCTCCTTGTTAAACAGAAATAGAGAAAAATTGATTTAAATACTTTAATAGGATGATCACGTAACAATTTTGAATCCATGGCTTTCATTGCCTTGACAACGCTTTTAATATTAGCATACTGTACAAAAGCAAATGTCAATGGATGTTGAGATTGTTGTTGACGTTTTATTTCTACTTCCTGTAAACAAAACAAACAAAAACATTTTAATCTGCTGATAAAAGTGAACTTTTTAACTTACAACTATATCACCGAATTTTGAAAATGTTTCTCTTAAATCATTATATGATATATCTGTTTCCAAATTTCCAATATAAAGCGTTCTAGTGGCTTTGGCTGAGTACTCATCGACATCCGTTTCACTAGTACAGCCTCGTTTAACCGTATCATAATCTTCATTATCTAAACAAAAACATTTATCAGCATCAAATACTCAGTTGTTCATGTAGCGAAATGAATCTCGTATGTAAATCGTAATATCTATCAAAAGTTGTTCTATTAAACAAAATGTAGTAAGCAACGAAAAATATTTGCAAAAAAAATGATTGGTTTCTTTTCTTTTCTATCCATTATTCATGCTACCGAATACTCTAACCTTGACGCATGTACGTGGCGATGATGCCCTTCTTTAACTTTAGTATGAAAATTAAAAAAATGTTTTTCAGTCATTTTTTTGCTGATATAACGTTTTACATACCAGCCAACGGATCATACGATTCAGCACGAATACGAATATTTCCAATAAGTTTGTTTTGTGAATGTGATAACGCTTTTTCCATATCTTCATTTCTATTTAAGCAAAAAAGAAATATATATTTGATATCTTAATATCGCATTGAACTTACTTTCGAAAAGTGATCAGCGCATAACGTTTATCTGGATCACCATCAATTTTAATTGTAACTAATCGTCCAGATTTTTTAAATTCAGCATACAACGCCGATAAATTTTCACGTAATGTAGGTACTAGAAAAAGTAAGAGTGATATGAGTAAAATCTTTTAATATTATTTTAACTATACTGTGTTTACACGGCATTTTCTGTGGTAAATTAGAAATTTTAATAATTCGTATTTTTCCATCATTGTTAATGTTTGGTGTTTTTGTTGAACGACGATGATTATGCGTTGAACTAATATCAAATAGAATAATACGATAATAACTGTACATAACACTTTTTCTATACTAATAAATACCTGTCATCACTAAACTCCGAATCAGACGACGATGATGATGAATTTGATGAGCTATGTTTATTTCGTGATTTGGAATTAATCACCGTTGGATGTACATTGGAACTTCTAAACAGAAATAAACAAAAAACTTTATAATTAGCTGAAAATTAACATCAATGCGTTTTTCTTACTTGGTTACACTTGTCGAAGCTTTTCTTTTACTCCCTGATGATCCAGAATCATCTCGTTTAACAGGAACAACTTGATGCCTGTAAGTAAAACAGAAACTAATCGATTAGTAAAAACTACCACAGATAAGATTTCATATATTTTGAGTGGACCTTTTACCGGCTAGTTGCCTAATAGTCCAAGAGAGGAAGCGAGGACACAAATGGTTGATATCCTGGATCGCAGTTAAAGTCATATCAACTCGTCTCTTTCAGACGGGGAATAAAAACTTTAGTTTTTCGCATCTAATTATACTGAGCACATCGTATTAGCTGAGCACACAAGAGATGACTATTTCAGTCCACAAATTAGTATTCAGAGAAAGACATTTTGTTCTTAGCTCATGAATGACCCATAGGACATGGGGAGCAGCAGACCAATGCTCTTCTCTATAAAAAAAGATCGTGTGTAGCAGAGTCTGCGAAAAGACCTGGCATTTCACTCTAACAGCCCAAAATTCTATGAACAGGCCTGCACAAGTCTGCAGGAAACATCCTGGTAGACATACGCAGGGTTTTACCGCATACCTCTGAGCTATGAAGAGACAGGTGTCGACTAGCAACCTTGTTCTATAGGATTTATATCCAGTTTTTCTCATCTAGTAGTTCGAACGAACCAGCATACTCATATTTATTCATCTAATTAATATGTGTATCTGGCAACACAATATACACGAAAATAACATGATTCGAGTTATACTCAACTCTGACTCGAAATGAAAGACTGACTAAAGATTTTTTATGAAATATACATGGGATTTAATATTATTGTTTTATGTGAGTGAATGATGTTATTTTTTCATCATTCTTGTTTTTTTTGTTAAACATCTCTAACTAGTGATTTATATATACTTAAACGATTAACCTCTAATTTAAATGTCAATCGATTAACATTGTTTCTAGTTGACTCACCTGAATAAGTGAGACGGGGCTACAAACGATGGATAGAAAGGTACCGGTAGTACAGAGAAAAAATGATGTGAATCAAGAAAAGCATTATGAATATCGTTGTGCGTTGTAGGAAAATAAAAATAATTAGCCATAAGTAGAATTCATTTTCTTTAATTTGATATGCATCAAAACATTTCACCTATCAAAACATTTCACTTTCACAACTAGAGATATAAAGTTACTCTATTTGACTTCTTTATGATATCCATTTAACGAGAGTGTTCTGAAATATTCAGTCATCGTATGAAAAACAGACAGAAAGAAAAATTCACTATCAGGCAAAAGCACACGTGCTCTTGTCAACCATATGTTAAAAAAAGTTCTCCTGAAGAATGCTGTATACGTCAGACACCTTATATTCTCTGTAATGCGTTTGATAATCAGATTTTTTTATGAAAATAATTCTTGCCTATTTACTTTGCAAGATTGTAAACTTTGATCTGTTGCCGTTAAGAACTCAATAACATCGATACTACGTCGTACTGAACATTGGAACTAATGTGTTTCTATGCGTGACTCTTCTATTATTATCGACTTCTGTTATTTCTTTCCGATCAGAACACCTTTTAGCAACTTTTGTGTTCGTAAACTACTTGATAATGAAAAAAATTACTGGTTTATTAATCGTTACTCTTTTAGCACTTCGATCAACAGTGTAGTTATTATTGTTTTTCTACTATTTGTAGAATGTTGAATGAAGTTAACCGAAATAGTGTCAGTAAAATTGGAAAGAAAAATTGTCTTCACTGAGTCTGTGAAATTTCTCAAAGCAAATATCTTTCGCAATGTGGCATTAAAAGCAGCGTAAAAGCGAGCGTTGTTTGACACAAAACAGCGCAATAGTTTCTGTTCGTCGGATTTTTTATGATTACAAAGTACGATTCAAAAAGTCGATGTGCGGTTACAAAAAGTATTGGCTATGAATCTATATCGTCATGAAAGACCATGCAGATTCATCAATGGTGACTATCTACTAGCACTGTATTATGGTTTCTAAATATGTTTTGAACTTTTTTTGTGTTTTAACACAAAAAAACACAAAAAACTTTTGCAAGTTTTACTGCTACAAAGTTTTCTCATCGTGTTGTAGAAGACATTCTGTTAAACTTTGTTGCTTATAAGAAAAAGTGACGTAAGAGTATGAAGTCGTCTGTAGCATGCACGTGAAATACATGAAACAACAAATAACCAATGCGAAATGCGTGCGTGATTTGTACAGGTCTGGACGTATCTAATCAAACTTTTGGACGTACAAAATATCTTTTTCTTTATTTTGTTGTATTCCATTCGAACGATATATACGAGTATAAAAAGTTACTATAAATTTTAGAAATATGTTCGTGATCACCAAAACTACATTGATATTGGCCCGATAAATAATCATTAATTGTAAAAACGAAGTCGACTCGAGTAATGGTAACCGAATAAATAATATAGATATAGTACGTTCAAACGAATACTTTAATAATTGCATTTCGCACGGTCTTTTAATTGTTACCGTACTTAACGTGAGTATAGAGACGACAACAACAACAAACAAACAAACAAACAACGAAAGAAGGACTATTCAGTGCAAAAATATTCTTGACCAAGAAAAATCGTAAGAAAATGACTAAATATCTGACTTCAAGTATACCGCTCAGCAGTTTCTAAACAAGTCAACCTGAGTAACAGGCAATATACCGCTCTACGGTTGAAGAAAAATAATATTAATAATATGTGCGTTCATAATTGAACAGAAAAACATTTAGAAAACGCGTATGTATTTATTCATATTCCACCCATTGAACTTACACTCAAATCATTACTTGATTTATCGTGTTTACGAGTAGTAGTGTAGTAGTAGTAAGTATTTTGGAAATTTCTCCACCTTACCGCGTATTCTCATCTGGACTACATGCAATCCTTGATGATCGCTTTTCAACATGGGTCTGATTTTTTCCAGTCACTGTTGATGCTAATGTCGATGGATGATGATGACCACTAGCGTGATAACTTGCAGTCGGCGTAGAAGTAGAGTTAGTCACTGTTACACTGTTATTGCCAATGCCAATATTCGTATTTGTTGTAGATTCACTTGTTTCTGATGTTGTTATTTGTAATTCAATTGGTTCAAGTAATGCCTTTGGAACAGACATGGATCCATCGTGAAATGCTGTCCGTAATTTTTGTCCATCTAATGTGTTCTCAGTATTATGTGCTTTTGACGCTGTACGCACATCCAAAAAACCAACAAATGCATAACGTTGCTCATCAGATATTTCTAATTTTACGGTATGGACACGACCATATCTATAAAAAAAACAGATTTGAAGTAGAACAATGTTAGAATTGATAAACGTCGTCATACAGTCTTACTTTTTAAAATAATCTTTGACGTTTTCTTCAGTAGCTGATTCTGGCAAATTTGCTACAGCAAGACATCTTGATTCAGCGACAATCGCTTTATTAGTTTTTGTTGCTAACAAATTTGTTTCACTGGGCATAGTAATTCATTAATTCATTTATATACAAATATTAAAACGAACCATTTTCAGACACATAAAACACACACACACATACACATACAGTATCTAACTATAACAACGATAATTAGAATAAAACTTCATTGGAAAGCCTGTGCGCCCCGAAATACCAAAAATTTGAACATTTTTTTATTCATTTTTGTATGTGTTGTTACTACACAATAGAATTACCAATTATTTCTTTTTCTTTCTCTTTCTTTTCTTTCGTATTTTTTTTCTTCTTCAATATTGACGACGATGAAACGAGTAAGACGGTGATGACGAGCAGAGATCGATGTTAGGCGCGGCGTACGTCATTAATATTCTGTATGTATATAACTATAAAGAAAAAAGAATGAAGAACGAATCGTCCACAGATTATTATACATGTGGTGTGTATGTTTGATGGTGAAGGAAACAAAACAAATATATACGAGCTAGTGAATAAAAAATCGCTAACATCGTACGTATGATGTAGCTCTTTGCTTTTTTTTTCTCATATCACACATATATATACCTAAATACTTTTACATTCTCGTACTCACTGCACCTAGAAACACTTTCATCGCTCAAGGGGCTGATGCTCATTATGCGATAATTTAGTGGGCTTCAAGTCAGACCTTTCATAGACCTCGACTTTTCTCCTTAAAAACGGTCTTGTTGTTGTTGTTTTTCATCTCTATTGATTTCAGGGTACTTGTGTTGCTCTACGCTCACATACACGTTTATGATCATATGATTTCCATCGAGAGAAAGGAAGAAAAGAAGCTGTACTACGCCATTTTTATTATAAAGCAATGGTAATTGGCGTATAGTCAACGACTACACAAGTAAATTTTTTTCATTTTTCCACCAATCCCGAACAAGATCGTTTCTTTGTGTAAACAGATCGTGGTTTTTTTTCTCTAAAAAGAGAGAAAAGGAGAAAAATTCATTATACTCGAAAAGATTTCGAGAAAGAAAAATGCTTTTAGTTCTGAGTATAGGGTTGATTCAAGATATTAGAGCGGTATAAAATATGGAATATCTATCCACTTGTTGGCAAACGTTAGCAATAAATGTCTATATAGACACTTATTGGTGACGTTTGCCAACAAGTGAAAAGATAGATATTCCGTATTTCATACTGCTCTATATTTTTTTTCTCTTTGTACTGCGTTGTTCTTATATGATACATCGAACGTTCTCGAAATCTCTTATTATTTGTGTTGATTAGTTGTACTTATATTTTTTTCTATAAATAGGGGAAGAAAAAAGGAACAGAAGAAGGAAAAAAGAAAGAGAACGAGAGAGAGAGAGAGAGAAAATATGTAGACTAAATATAGTTAGTTGATTTGAAATATGAAATCGTCGACGTTTCATTTGTTAGATATCATTACTATTCGACGAACGTTTTTTGCTTCGTTTTTCTCTCATTTTTTCTTTAGCGCTTACATTATTATATTATGGTAACAAGAATGTTTTTCAAAACTGGTGAAGTTCACTGTATGTGTATTGAACATGGTACATATATACATTTTAATATTCCACTATCGTAGATATTAAATGGCAAAAAATATTTTTACTCTTTTAAAAAAAATAGATTTTCTTGCTGCTCTTTTCTTTTGCATCATCATGGTTTTGGATTCTACAGTATTGGAAAGGTGATACATTTCATATACAATGTAAACTTTGACTGTCAGAGAAAGTAAATTAAGAGCATAAAGTAAATGATACTAAAGGTAGGTTATTGTGTGTCTGATAAGTTTATTATCGCATTTGTAAATATTAAAGTATTTTATTTTTTTTAGGTTGTTGATAGTTTACGTTCATTACCGAACGATGTTGGTCATTTCTATAAATCTGTGCCGTTGGTTATCAACGAAAAAATTCAATTTTTGTTAATTGCGTTTAAGTTTTAAATCTTTCGAAGAGAAGAGGTTTTGATCGCCTATGTCGTTACAGTTATTTATTACAGAGCGAGGAGCTGTGTACCTATTTGACCTGAAATTAGAAGGAATAGCTGAATGTGAAGAAAGAGCATTCAGTTGTGAGTGTAGTATGAGTTAGGCGATTTCATTGGAAATACATAGTTTTGTCGTTGTTTGTCTGTTGTATATTTTCAGCTTTGTATCGAATAAACTACTCTTCTTGTGTGGGTTCGGTATGGATGAGATGGTTATACAAGATTGCACAACATCAAATCAACAATTCGATCAAAGAGTCGAAAAATGATTTCAATGTTTACTTCGTACTACAGTGGAAAATGTTTTTTTAGTATCGAGTAATTTTTCTGGATGAATGAGAGCACCTAAGTGTACAAGCATTTCAAAGCATCATTCTTGCCAATTCAAATATTTGGATTCATAAAATGCAAAAGCTTTATGATTTGTAGTTCATGTGCGGAATAGCGTTACTGGTAGAGAAAGTAGATTTTGTATCCGGGTAAGATATTGCACAGTATGAAGATGTTTGAGTATACAAGATATTTTGAAGGGTATTCAAGAAAAATTGGCTAACTGAGTTTTTTCAATTTCAATACAAGTTCTGAAGTATTCCTGACTCTGAATGCTTTTTTGCTTAGATTGAATATATATAAGAATGTCCACTACTGACGTCTGTATATTGTTCTTTTATTCGAATAAAATAATCTAATTAACGATCCTCACTATCATGATAGATTATGTACTATTTAAAATCAAAGAACATAATTACGAAACCGTATAAAAATCTTTGATTGTTTTAATCAAAAACTGCTGCAAGTAGTAATTATGTTAGGAATGTCAAATCAAAAAGAAACAGGCTTAGATTGACAATAGTGCCAGATCTATCCTCATGAACACAGGATTCCCTCCTGTCTATTGCGACCACTGCTTGAAGCAACTAAGTAGTCACTTACTTTTTTGGATATACCATTCGTGGGTGAGAAAGATTGATTTTTTCATCAAAACTTGCTAAATTATTATGTGTTTGTCGTCGAAAGAAATGATAATACATATGTGGTGAAAAAGGTACCTGTTCTCGTAGATCTTCTCTGTTTGTTGACAAAAGATATTACATATCAAATATATATTCATTTGTGAGCGATCGTTAGTCAGATCTTATTCTGCATCTAATGGACTTGTACTTATCGAAGTGTTTGAATGACTCGTTTAAGTATAGTAGATGAATGGATGGTCTTAGAATAAAATATTGTTGTCCCGGCGTTTTGCTCTAGGTTCTTAGCGCTTAGAACAAAGTGATTTCATGCTCATGCTAGCGTTTTGCGCTTAGAACAAAGTGATTATCATGCTCATGCTAGCGTTTTGCACTTAACTTTTGTGCACATTCTTGATCAATGACCTTAATCAAGAATGTGTTACAGAGAATGGAGAAACCAGTAGTGACCTAGAGATGTCACTAGATACCTGCAGTGTGCGACCTCGAAAATTACTGTTGTGATAGAACTGTTGTCAGTCGTTAACTGTGACCAAAATAAAAAGTAGGTAGTACTCTAGATTTTTTGGAGCAATACAATTTTTGATATACTGAAACATTCTGTGAATGACAATATCTGCAAAATCTTGTCTTCATACTTCAGTCAAACGGGTTGTTCTTTCGAAAATGTACCATGTTTACATCGACTTAATTCCAACAGCTCGAGAGTAATTGTGCTAGTAGAACACGAGCTCCTGATGACGAATATCACGTTTAAAACATTTTAAAACAATCTTGTCCTTCTAGACCTGAAGGGATCCCATTTCTTAGCAGAACCGATCTTTTCTGAACATATTCATCATTTTCCAGCGAAATACTTTCATGAGCTGATACCCTCAGACTACAATCTATATGTACAGCGCTGCAAAATTCTAACAGACAAATAATTCCGAAATGTTATGCACTTTCTTAGGAGAATTTTTAAAAAAATCCTTTTTTCCGAAATGTAAGCCTTTTTGTAAACCTTACTCACCCTTAAAATCATGCCAACACACGACGACAGGTTACGCATTCGACGCATCTTTTCAAGCTCTATTCGATAAAGTGGTTCTCATTGAGATTAAAAATCATCTAATGATAGAAAACAACAACTTTTAAAGGCGATTTTCCTCGTTTTGCAAAGTTTGAGTACGTGCTGCACCATTCCACAGGATTGTAGGACGTGGGATAACATGCATGTACTGGATGTGGACTATTAGTAAAACAGATTTTTACCTTTGCCAAAGCACATTCAGAAAAAGTGTTTTTCCAGCAAAAATATCTCAGGATTTTTAGCTGTTGCAAAAGTGCTTCGGCAAAGATAAAAATCTGTTTTACTAATAGTCCACATCCAGTACATGCATGTTATCCCACGTCCTACAATCCTGTGGAATGGTGCAGCACGTACTCAAACTTTGCAAAACGAGGA